ATTGGGATATAAATGGTGGTTATGATTTTTGTAAATATTATTTTTATATTTTTATAAATGCAATAATAAAAAATAAAAAATCAAGTTTATTTTTTACCCTTTAAATATTTTTTATTTGAACTAAATCATCAAAATATGATAATTTTAACTTTTAATTCCTTAATAAAATCACTTAATTATTATTCTCCTTGATTATCATACTTCTCACATCATTTTATCCTTTGTTAATTTTATTACTTTTAGTGATTTGGTGATAAACTTAAGAGAATTTTTTTTTTTGATTTAATCGTTTGTATATCACGTGATCACGCCAATTTAATCAACCAATAGAATTTTAGTAATAATAAAAAATGATCTACAAAAATTAGCCAATCACAATATGCTGGTATGACTATACTTTTCAAACACGGATTTTTTATCAAAAACCAAAGTCGTTTTTTTTGGCAATGAGTAGTTATGGAAATACTCGCTGGAAGTTTAGGCTTCCTTACTTTCAGGAGAATGAAATATGGGACCTGGTGGAATTTTTACAGTGGAGTATGATACAATATCCAAATGATTTCGGTAATAAAGAAGAAGAACACAGGACATATAAGATTTGTTTGGAACGACTCATTCATAATCCCCATTTACTGAAGTCTCGTAGCAGTGAGCTTGTTCAACAGCTGGCCTCAAATTGTTTGAACTCATTCGAAGTTTGTACTTTGTTTATTAGTTTTATTTCGGGACCACAGTAAAGGCTAGGTTGCGTCCGAATTTGATCTAGTCGAGTCTAGTTGCTGTGCCCCCGGCACTAATTTTTTCGCTGAAAGTGCTAGGTTGCGTCCGAATTCCCGGGGTTGCGTCCTTGGGTGCACTTTTATCTTTGGTTGCGTCCAAAGATTTACAGCTTCCCCCCTTTTCATTATATTACTACACATTTAGAAGACTACAAATTCCAACAAAGTAAAGAAGTTTTGGGAAGATAGCTTAACTGTTATGGAAACGTTAAAAAACGCGTCAATTATAAATTCAAAAAATGTAATCCAACAAGTGCTAGATTTACAGACCGATTTCAATGAGGCGCTTACTAACACTACACGCGAGAGTATAAAACCTGGTAATTCATTCAAAACCATCTACATTATGTTATGTATTATATATTTAATCTTTTCTCTATGGTGCGGAATAATAGCTTTGAAACGGAAGTCAACAGTCATAGATGAGTCAGATTCTGATGCCACGAAAACTGATGAGAAGACATTGAAGATGTTCTTACGGGAGACAATATTATTGATGACGAACAAGTAGTAAGTTATATAACTTTTCTATTTTTCTTCTTATATTTTGCATTGACATGTAATTAATTTGCTTCCTTCGGCCTTTTTGTTGAATGCACTGATAGAAAGAGCATAATCTTGAGAAAAGCTGGGAGTTCAAAGAACCAATTCCTGGCTGGCTCAAACTGCTTCATCAACATCGCGAAGATCTTGCCACCACAACAATTGACCTCAAATCACTTTCTCAAGTAGCAGAAACGTAAGTCCAGAATTATATGATTTTTTACTATAATCAAAATATATGATTCTGAAATCTTTCTATTGTTAGTGCCATTTGGTGGCGTATAATTGACACATGTGATCCGAAATTAACTGAAATTATTACGGAACGAGAGTTTTTAAACCTAAGCGAAAGTTTACTTTCCAACCTTCCATCGGACTGGGAAGTGTTAGAGCCACCAGCTGAAAGATGCTTGCACTCAATTGCAATGGTGGGTAATAATGTTAAGTACTTTTCGATTCATAAGCTCAACCTTTGTGTGATTGTCTTCCAGCTGGATAAGAAAGGATTGAAGAAGGTAGCCAAAACCGTAATACATCATGGTGTTTGTGGTGCTATAAATAAGGCTCGAAAGATTTTGGATACTTCGAACAAAGTTGAAGATGAAAACCCCTTCCTTGACTCTCCACCTACTGAAATCACAACTACCGATAATTTTTTTCAAGATGGAGATTATAAACACCCAGATGTCTGTTACATCATTGAACTTCTTCACTATACGTAAGTATGGGAATTGTTACATGTAACTAGTATTTTGGAATAACTGAATACTCATGTAAACTAGATACAATATGATCGATAAAAAAATTCCGCAACGAGAAAATTCGGAACGGGATATTGATGTGATTTTCAAGTCCCACATGTTTTCTTGTTTTGATGACATTATGGATTCGCATTTGTAAGTTCAAACTGTTGATTTTACATGATCATGTTTTAATATATTGAAATTTATTATATATACATTCTTACTGATATATTATGAACCTTTTTTCACCATTACTAACTAGTGGGGAGATGGTTTCCAGAGCTTCACGACAACGCCGTACTCAAGCAATTGATGCTTCTGATAAAGCAGAAGGTTATCATCTAGATTGGCTTTTTACGGTATGTATGTTTGTAATCCATTATCATAAACAAACTTTAGCTAATGATTTTTGTTTGTAGAGACATGGTCTCGCAAGAGATCTTACCTGGGGGCGAAAATTTTCACTGTGTGAAAGAGCAGGGTCTAAAATTGAAAATGGTAGAAAAATACTAGATAACACCTTAAAAGTACAAAAAACCCTGCGTGACATGCACCAGACGTTATTAGAAACCTTGTCTAACGCAGGTGGTGGTGCTGTTCCTGTCAAAGTTGCTCAAGCTTTCCGAAAACTGCTTCTGCCTGGATTTATCTCATCTCGATTTTTTATTCGGGTTTTGTTAAATGTATACATTGGTGGTAAATACCATGGATCCGTTATGCTGGCAGAATTTGATGTACCCACTCAATTTGATGAAATGAGCAAGATTGTAACAATAGCACGGATGATGTTAAACGTAAAGGTAACTAAGCTGACAAATTCCCTTTAACATTTCATTTATTATTTTTAATTTTGTTATTTTTGTGCAGAATATTTTCAAACAAACCATAAGAACCTTCACTTTGATGGAGGAAGCTTCCAAGAAGAAGAAACACTCTGTAGATAACGTATTGGTGTCATCAAGAGTCATAGAGCATGTGTCTCCTAAAGCTAAGAAACAACAAAGTTCTAAAACTAAGAAGCGAAAAACTTAATAGGAGTTTACTTATTGACTTAATGGTTTATTGTTTGATAATATATTAATGTATGTACCTATGAAATCTAAGACAAAATCTCGAGAAATTTTAAATGCATTAATTCGTATTAGAAGTGTTATTAAGTGTAAATAAATATTATAATAAAGTTTCGCACGGGTGCTTATGTTAATATTTCGTTACGCGAGTTATAAAGTTATAAATATACAGTTGATTTGTTATTTTTCACATTCCACCTTGGCTGGATACGTATAATATTTCTCGATCGTGGATATTGTTTACTATTTTGCATAACATGATATTTTTCTGGCTTTCGAGAATATGTGAAAGTAAGAGTGGCAAGTAGGATATGAAAGCATCTACTTTAACTTCAAACCGGATGAATCGGTCAGCTCAAAAATATAAGTGGTAGATAAAATCACACCCAGGTGATATTTCTTCTGTAAATGAGAAAACGAAATTTATATGAGAGACAGAACCTTGTTGCAAAGTAGTCCACGGAACATGCGGATGGGTGGATCCATTAATCTAATTCCAAAGGGCGTGTCCCAACCGAGTCTAATCGCTAATGGATCATCTATTATTGGCTTAGTGAAATCAAAACTACAAAATTCCAATCTCGCAGATACTTGTCAGTAATCTTGGATGCCTTTTTGATCATCTGTATACTGATGCATATGTCTTAGGGATTGTATGAATCGAACTTTCCCAATTCTGATCATAAGCATTTAAAGTTTTAAATTTATTCAATAAGACCCAATTCTCGAAGATGCTCTGGAATAACTACATATGGGACTTCATAATACCAAATATACCTTAGGGTAATACAATTTTCTTTGCATAATTCTTTCTTGAGTTGATCCCGCGCTTGCTGTTTGATAAAATTATTGGGATCGCCATTATGGAAGAATTTGATATATTTTTCGTGTTGTACGCCTTGTACTTCGATTGCAAAGCCATATTCTGGGTAATAAATATCAAGTTCTAATCCTGTGGGACA